CTAAAAGAAAAAAAGTGATTTCTGAAGAGAAGCATTTTTAAAAAATAAGAGTCTTTAAAATATGCAATATAAGGCTTAAGAAGAAAAAAAATGATGGAGTGTATTTTCCAAAAGCCGGGTTTTTGGGAGTCATGTTTTATATTAATTTGTTGAAGCTTCATTGTAGACAGAATGCTGGCCTGGGAATCTAGAGAACTGGATTCTAGTTCCAGCTTGGTCACTGATTCATCATGTGATCTGGGACAAATCATTCCATTTCTCTGGGCTGCAGCAAAATGAGGGTTTTGGACTAATCTGGTAGTCTATACACATGCTTATGTAACAACTCCTAGGAATTACAAAAAAAGTAATTTAATAGTTCAATCCCACAATCATTTATTAAGCACCTATTATGGGCCAGGTACTCTTCTAGGCACTGGAAACACAAAGACAGAAATGAAGACAAAACATTCCCTGCCCTCAAGAAGCTTATATTCTTTTGGGTTGAGAAGTCACTTTCTAAAAAACCCCCCAACATTTTGGCACTCATGGAAAATATCTTTATGCCTCATGTCAGAAACACAACCATTAAAAGTAGATCCTTAAAAATGAGTTTCAAAAGATACATTTCAGTTACATCATGCAAAATATGGTGTATTGAAAGCAACAACTTAAAATGGAGCAGAGACTGCTTAAATGCACCATGAGATTGCCTACAAAGTAAAGTTGCCATTTCTTCCTCCTGTTTTTGAGACTCTCCAAAGTCCAGTGCTGCTGACCTTTTTCAACTTTCCTCTTCCTTCCATATGCTTTATGCTTCAGCCAAACTGAACTGTTCCTCTCCCTTGAACATGCCCGGAACTCTCATCTCTCCTCCATTCTTTGTTCTTAGAATACCCTCTGAGCCACCAGCTATTGAATACTATCTTTTAATGGTAAACTCAAACACCACCTCTGGCATATCACTGTCAGCCACAGAAGACATACATAAAAGGGAACAGCGTGGTACTTTGAAAAGAGCACTGACTCTGAGTTCAGAGGACCTGGATTCTAAATCTTGTCTCTGATGTTTACTACCTGTGGGACCTTGGGTAAGTGATGGATTGAGGGACCTCAGTCATATACTCCTGTCATTTTTTACAAACTGAGTTCCAGAGAGTTGCCCAGGATACACTAGGAATAAATAGATTAGCTGGATTTTGAACCCAGGTCTTCTGACTTCAATCTCAGTATTCTTTTTCATTGAACCATACTGCTAAACTTCTCTGGACCTCAGTTTCCTCAATTGTAAAATGAGATAGACCACATGACTTCTGAGATCCCTTCTAACTCTGATTCTATGAAATGAATAGGATTAAGGTTCATAAGAAAGAGATGACACACACAGAATATCGTGGACAGAATAGAAGTTGTAATTTTCTTGAGAAAAATAGGGGAAAAGTAAAGGCAGATTTTCTGTCTTTAATGAAAGAGAAGGGGAGAACGAGGGAGGAAGGGAAGGAAGGAGGGAGGGAGAGAGAGACAGAGACAGAGACAGAGACAGTGACAGAGAGGGAGACAGACACAGAGAGAGAGAGAGAGAGAGAGAGAGAGAGAGAGAGAGAGAGAGTACAAAATGACTTTCTTCTACTCTTCAATTGTGTACACATAACACATGCAGGTGCATATATGTCAATTACTTTCCCCCAGAATACAAACCACATACATATCATTGAAGCATCATTTGTTCTGATGGTAGGGGTTTGTAGAGGTATTCTTTGTTATATTTCTATCTCTTTCTTTTCTTGTTTTACCTTGAAACATTTGTTTATTTTCAGCATAAATAAGTTAGATAACTCTATGGAGGATGATTATTGAGCTTCTGGATGTTTTCTTCAAGGACTGAGGATTTAGGTTAGAAGGAGAGAGAGAGCCTTGTCAGGATGTTTCTTTAGATTATGTTGTGATGGGTTCTGCTTTGAGAATTATAGATTGACCTTGCATGGTTTTCCTAGATCTACTTTCTTTGGTTCTTATTTTGATCCCGGGCAAACTTTGGTTCTAGAAATTTCAGTTCATGCATTATGTCTTCATGCTATCTGAGGGATATAATAGGCCTCTGATAAATTTTTGTGGACTTTTCCTTCCAAGGGAGGAAAATAATGGGGTCTTCAAAAAAGTCCTAACTATCTTTGTGTATCACTTTCCCAATACTTCACATTTCTCTCATATATGTACCTGGTACTGGCTGGTTATATAGAGATGCCCTTCAGGATCTTATATGGGCCTCACTAGGCCTTTTATGACCAGCCTGCTAACAATTTCCCCCCAAAATTTCTTCTCCAGTTTAAACACTCCTAATTCCTTCAAAGGATCTTTATGCATTTCAGATTCTGCCTCCATTATCTAATAAGTAAGCTGTTCCTCAAAACTTTGCATCATTTGTAAGTTTTGATAAACTTGCTATCTAAGCTTTTATCCAAATTAGTAATAAAAGTTTTGAACCCCAGAAGATCATTAAAAAAAATCAACATACATACACACACAAACAACAAATTGGGTCACCTTCCTCCAAGCTGAGACTGATCCATTAATGACTACACTTCGTAATCTGTCCATTTAATCAATTTTGCATCCATCTAGCTATTATTATCTAGCACACATCTTTCCACTCGCACAGCACTTGGAGGCTCAGGACCCAAGTTTGTACCTCTCTCAGAACTTAGCACAGTGTTCCAAACCAAAATTCTTTTTAAAATAATATTTTCCCCCAATTACATATAAAAGTAATTTTTAACATTCATTTTTTAAAAAAAGTTTTGAGTTACAAGTTCTTTTCCTCTCTTGCTCGCTTCCACTTCCCTGAGATAGTAAGCAATCTGATATAGGTTATACATTTGTAATCATGTAAAACATATTTCCATATTAGTCATTTTGTGGAAGAAAACTCAAACCAAAAAAGAAAGAGAAAGAAAATGAAAAATAGTATGCTTGGTTTGTATTCTGATGCTGTCAGTTATTTTTCTGGAGGTGGATAGCATTTTTCATCATGAGTCCTTTGGGATTGTCTTGGGTCATTGTATTGCTGAGAAGAGCTAGGACATTCACAGTCCTTCATTGTACAATATTCTGAAAGCATCCTGCTCATCATTTTTTTATAGTACAGTAATATTCCATTGCAATCATATACCACAACTTGTTCAGACATTCCCCAAATGATGGACATCTCTTCACTTTCCGATTCTTAGCCACCACAAAAAGCTGCCATAACTATTTTTGTACAAATAGGTGTTCCCACCTCCCCATTTTTTGGATCTTTTTGGGACACAGATCTAGTGGTATTGTAGGATCAAAGAGTACACACAATTTTATAGTCTTTTGGGCATGGCTCCGAATTGCTTTCCAGAGGTTGGAACAGTTCGCAACTCCACCAACAATGCACACATCACCAACAGTGCCACAGTTTTCCCACATCTCATCTAACACTTATCACTTTCCTTTTCTGTAAAATTAATTTATTTTAATTTCTCTAACCAATAGTGATTTAAAGCATTTCCATATGACTACAGATAGCATTAATTTCTTTTTCTAAAACTGCCCGTTTATATCCTTTGACCATTTATCAATTAGTAGAGACTCGTGTTTTTATAAATTTGATTCAGTTCTCTACATATTTGAGAAATGAGGCCTTTATCAGGAATACTTGCTGTAAATTTCCCAATTTTTTGCTTTCCTTCTAATTTTTGTTGCTTTGGTTTTGTTTGTGCAAAATCTTTTTAATTTAACATTATAAAAATTATCCATCTTACATCTCATAGTGCTATTAATTTCTTGTTTGTTCCTTAATTCTTCCCTTCTTCATAGATCTGACAGGTAAACTATTCCATGTTCCCCTAATTTGCTTATGGTATCACCCTTTATGTGTAAATCATGTACCCATTTTAACTTTATTTTGTATACTGTGTGAGATGTTGGTTTATACCTATTTTCTGCCATACAGTTTTCCAGTTTTCCCAGCAGTTTTGGTCAAATAATGAGTTTTTGTCCCAAAAGCTTGGATTTTGGGTTTATAAAATATTAAATTACTATAGTCATATACAAGTGTACCTTGTGTACCTAATCTATTCCACTAATCCACGACTCAGTTTTTTAATCAGTACCAGATTGTTTTGATGATTACTGCTGTATAATATAGCTTGAGATCTGTTGAAACGAGGCCACTTTTCTTCACATTTTCTCCTCATTCTATTCATATTCTTGACCATTTGTTCTTTCAGATGAATTTTGATATTATTTTTTCTGGGTCTATGAAAGAAATTTTGGTAGTTTGGTATGGCACTGAATAAGTAGATTAATTTAAGTATAATTGTCATTTTTATTATATTAGCTTGGCCTACCTGTGAGTATTTAGTATTTTTCCAATTGTTTATATCTGACTTTGTGTGAAAAGTGTTTGGTAATTGTCTTTGTATGGTTCCTAGGCTTGTCTTAGCAGGCAGACTCCCAAATGTTTTATATTGTTTACAGTTGTTATTTAAACTAGAATTTCTCTTTCTATTACTTCCTGCTGGGTTTTGTTAGTAGTATATAGAAATGATGTCTTACGTGGCGGGGTGGAGCCTTGCTGGTGGATCCTCTAAGGTGTGGTCTGCATGTTCCCTTCCCACCTTAGAGAGAGAATTTTTCTGCTGACCCTCCAAGATGTCCTGGACTGGAAATCTGCTTCAATGCATCACAATTGGGTTTGAGGTATTATTCCAAAGTTGTCGGAGGGGAGTTTGGGAGAACTCAGGCTAGTTCCTGCTTCACTACACCATCTTGGCTCTGGAATTGCCCTTGTAAATTCTTAATAAAAATTTATGCAATTGATTTGAAGTTTCATTTGAGTAATTCACAATGTTTTTGTAATCTTATTTCTTCTTATATATGTTGTAGATTTTGTTTTTTACCCCTAGATCCTCAGAGGTTTTCCTTCTTTTAGAAAACACCTTTGTGATAGGATTTAATTTTTACTACTTATTCTTCTGTGTTCCTTCCTTTAGAAGAGCCTGCTTTTACTGGGGACATTTTGTGTAGTCTTCTGAGCTGCAAGGATCAATTAGTAAGACATCTCCTCTTATCCATTGTACGAGGAGTTACTTTGGTTCATGGCCATTACCAGGTTTGTAGATTTGTTAATCCAGTACTCTGCTTTTTCAGTGCTTCATTTGCATTTTCCCCTTTGTTTTGTCTTTTTAATGAAAACAATCAAGACTGCCATGCTATGATATGCTGGAACTTAGTTTTTTGGGGAGCTTAAATTTAACAGTATTTTTTTCTGGCTTTATTGGTGAGTTATGAAAGTGTTAATTAAAAACCTACTCATAGCTATCTGCTTTTCATAGTTTAAGACTAGTAAATTATGCTAGTGAAGTTTTCCTTTTTTCAAAATAAAAAAAATTATCATGTGGCATTATCTATCTCATTAGCATCTTTAAATTGCCACTCAAATTTAATTGTGGGATACCATACAAACTCAACATTTAGGTTATGTTTAATGAAGTCATGTCTTTTAATTGGAATGAATGAAAATATGTCAACACACATGCTTCTTACCTTTGCCATCACTATATTTCCTAGGATTTTGAAAATATTTGGTCTCCTCCAATCATGGACATTGTGAAAGCCTTTTGCATACCAGCAGCAAGCTTTCTAGTACCTTGGAAAATTTTAAGAGAAGCCTGGGAAATGCTACCGCCAGAGACTGTGAATGCCATCTGATGTTAGAAACTGTGCAACAACATGTGCAAAAGTAAAGCCAGATTTTTATTTAATTTGATAGTTCAATTTTTTAAATTGAAAATGATGAAATTCTAATTTTTCTTTCTTGCTCCGAACCCATGAATTCATTGGTGCAGGAAATTCCTGATAAGGAAACTTTCCCTATAAATGCAAATTAGTATTTATTCTGTAACTTGTAGTTTTACAGTTTCCTAGAAATTATAAATTTACAAAATGAATTTATGACCAAGGTCCTAAAGCCAGGAGATGTCAGAGGTGGAACTTAAGTCCATGTTTTCCTGACTTCAAAGCTTTCCCTATACCATATGAGGCTGTTTCATAATAATTACAAGAATAGGCATGTTTCATAATAAGGATCCCAGATTTGTTTTTGTTCTCCAATTACTCTGGGTTGCTTGCATATTTCTCTAGTGTTCATTTAATGTTTGGAAAACGGGAAAACCACTAGATGAGGAAATATACACTTTGTATTCTGCAGATGACTTAGAGGTAACAGTATTCTCCTAGGTTCCTTGTTGTCCTAGTTCTTGATATTTCTTCTCTGTCCTTTTTTCACATTGAAGTGAAATTGAAAGCATTCAGTCTAAAACTATTCATCATGAATCTTTATTCCCTTGGTTCATCTTGGCAGTAAGTCTGAAGAGAAAATGTATTGCCATAGCGTATTCATGGACATAAGCAGATAGTGTCAGAAGAGGCTTGGTGCCTAATTATCTTGTTATCCAGCCCATCTCCTGGGAACTCAGGAAGTCACGTTCATTCCAACATAATTTCTAGTGTTTTATCTTGCCTAATTTAGCATTCATTTTTTGTCATTTTAGGTTGGCCAAAAGCCTTGAGAAATTTATCAGGACACCCCATTACGGCTTTTCTTAGCAACTTCAGTGTAACTAGGGGTAAGTTCCTGGATTTCTTCCAACAAATAAAATAAATGAGGCATCATTTTCATACATTTACTTAAAGAAGAAAATATAATGAAAATGGAAGAAGGGATGCCACACCTGTAAAGCATTTAGTGTGTATCTACATATTATATTATGGGTAAAGGAAGCATCATAAATGCTTGAGTATTTCTAGGCTCAGTTAGGAGATACTATGATAGAGTGAAGAAAGTAATGGATGTGGTCCCTGGGTTCTGATCTCTCCCTGCCACTTACTAAGTAGCTGTGTGATATGAGGCAAGTCACCTCACCTTTCAGAGTTTGTCATCTGTGAAGGGGATTGGACTCTAAGGTTCGCTCTATTTCCCACAGTCTGTGATTCTGGATCTTTTTTGGCCAGTCTGAACCGAAATGGGAAATCCTTAAAGAAAGGATCCCTTAGGACTGGACTGGGAAGCACCAGCTGCACTTAGATGGTAAAGAAGGAATTAATTATACTTCACTTAGTAACAGCCTTGGTCTGCTCATCTCCCCTCCATTAACCATGTTTCACATCACATTCTATACCCTTGCAAATATCAATTCTTGTAAAAAAATTCTCCTGTATTGACTTTACCATACGATTATTTACCGATTGTTTTCCAGATTACTTCAGGTGACTTTACGTCATGCTGGCTTATTGTCTGTTCAGTGTTCTGGTAATAGAAAAACTACTAGATAATGGAGCCACACCCTAAATATTCAGCAGACAGTTTAGAGGCAGAGAGAGCGACATTTTTTTTTTTCTGGACTCCTCATTGTAATCTTCATTGCTCTAAACTGTTTCCCTGGCCATCTAATGTTTATCATGGCATTTACCAACTATAAAGGAATACTTTAAGGCTGCCACTAGCAAGCAGATTTTAATGAAAACTTAATGATGTGGAAAAAGGAAAATAGTAGCTGACATTTCTAGAACATTTTAAGGTTTACAAAGTGCTTTTTGTAACTATCTCTTTTGAACCTCACAACAATCTATTAAGAAAAAAGTATTATTATCCCAGTTTCCAGGAGAGAAGGATGAGCCTTACAGATGTTAAATGGCTTGCCTAAGGTCATGTAGGTAGGATATGGTTGAGCCATAATTTGAACCTGGATCCTTGGGCTTTGAGGACAGTTTTTTTTCTTTTTTCTTTTTTTTTCTTTTGAAGCAATTGGGGTCAAATGACTTGCCCAGGGTCACACCACTAATAAGTGTTGGAAGCTGGATTTGAACTCTGGTCCTCCTGACCTCAGGGACAGTGCTCTATAGTTCTCTTTTTGCTATACCAGATCCTGATAGAATTTGGTTCTAGGTATGTATGTCCCAGATGTGAACATTACTATTGCTATTCCTGTAGTCCTTAGTATTTGATGATTCAGTTCAATCTAACATTTAGCAAACATTTACTGTGCCCCTACTATGTGCTTAATGAGGTCTACTATCATTCCCTCATGCACTTATTAGGAATGTGCCTTCTCCTCAGACTCAGTTAATTAATAGGCAGTGACTGCTATTGGGTTGCATTACTTGTAATTCTGCTAAACAGATCTCTAGGGAAGACATATGAAGACATTCTTTTACTTGTTTTTTGTTAAGCCTCATGGAGACTGGAAACCACAAATCAGTCTCTTGACTTTTGTTTTCTGACATTTTAAAGCATAGTAGCATAAATTATTAGCACAACTCCTCCAAATAATTACAGGAATTTTTGGCTTAAAAATGGTGAACCCTAAATGGTTTGCTGGGCTCTGGCATTAAGAAGTCAGCCCTTGAGGATATCTTATTGTTCTGATAAGAACAATACAGAGAGATGTGTTAAGAGTGGTTTTTTGGTGTTGGAAAGTGTCATCTCGAGGTTTCAGTGATGAGCAAGACATGTCTTTTCTCTTGAAATACTTTGGGGACCTGTGATTTTGTCCATGGTGACATTCCTGCCATCCAAGCAGGTCATTATCCCTCTCTGCTTTAGTAGGTGGTCTTCAAGATTTGGCTGTGGCCAAAAGAATCCATCATCCTGTAGTCCACCTGATGATGAGTCTTTCCAGACTTAGCTAGGCTGGTCCTCAGACATCTAGCACTCAGTATGTTATTTGACGTGTACTTGGCCTTTTCAGTTTGATTTGATCTCTCAAGACTTACATTCTGCTGGCCTTTTAAAAACGCAGGTTTATGACCACGCCACTGGTAGAGGTAGGCTTTAGTGAAGTTTTTCTGTGGCAGGTTTCATAAAATACAAGCAGGTCGACAGGAATCTTACCCACCGAACATGGGAGCGTAGGTGTTGAGCTCTAAGGAGCTTGAGGGTCATCTAGTCCAAATCGCTCATCTTGAGGATGAAAAAAGGAAAGTTCATAAAGTTTAAATGACTTACCCAAGGCTATATAAGTAATAAATAGGAAAACAAGAATTTAGACTCAAGCCTAGGTTGAAATTTAGTTCCTCTCTGTCTCTTAATATAGTTTCCCCTCCCCTCCACCCTGAACAATCTTGCCTCCATGGCAGTAATGTTGTTGTAAGCTTGAGGACCATTATACCTCTCTCTTATGAAAACCTATTAGAAGAATATTTATACTTCTGATTTATGTTAAGAAACTTTCTTCACCACAGAGTCAAGTAAAATGTTATACATATGTATTCTATTTTACGCACTTCTATCTACATATGAAAGGGAATTCTCATTTGCAGTAATTTTTTTTTGTGTGTGGCAATGATATGGAATTTCATTTGCTGTTGAAGTAATGACTTTAGAATACAGAATCTTAAAAACACTCTGAGCCATCAAATTTAGACTATAAATATTTCTAAATATTTCTGTCATGTTATCGTCTGTGTTGCTCTTACCTTATCTGTCAAATGAGTATTTAGTTTCAGCTGCTTACGTCACCTGTAAAATGGGCATTTAATTTAAAAATAATGGAATGATAATAATCAATATTAAAAATGGAATAATAATGTAATTAGCATTTATATAGTGCTTTATGGTTTGCGAAGTGCTTTATAAATATTATGTCATTTGATAACAACTCTGGGAGGAAGGTACTGTTATTACTACCCCCATTTTATAGATGAGGAAACTGAGGTGAAAAGAGTTTATGACTTGCTCAGGGTCATAAACTAAGTGTGTGAGACTGGATTTGAATTCAGATTTTTCTGACTCCAGATTCAGAGTTCTATGTAGTGTGTCCCCTAGCTGCAAAAGAACAGAAATTTGATGACGCTTGGACAGATGAGCTAAGAAAAACATAGAAGATAATATGGCAAGGAAACTTTAGTGTATGTACTGTTTCTGAGAGCATTGTTTCAGCCAAATGAGACTGCTAGTTCTTCCCCCAACTCAATGTTCCATGTCCTGCTTCTGTACATTTCAACTAGCTGTGTCCCTATTTTGGGAATTCATATTCCTCTTTCAGATTCCTTCTCTTTCTACAAGATTATATTCCTATATCACCTTTTTGAAAGCTTCCTTGATGCCCCCAGATGTTAATTTTTTCTCCCTCTCTGAATCACCTTGTATCGATTTCCTCTTATATGTACTGTATCCTTTCAGTAGAAAATAAGCTTAAAAGGGCAAGGACTGTTTTGGTTTTTGGCTTTGTGTTCTCATCTCCTAGACTTGCATACAGTAGGCACTCAGTAAAACTTATGGATTGGAATTGTTAAATTCTGAGTTGTAATAAGAAATTTTCAGTAAAATTTAGAAATCTTCAAGGGTGCATGTGAAATAAATGCAATACACTATGATTATAATTGTTTTATGTCCAATCTCCCTCCCCCTAACCCACCATTAACCATTAATACATTTCAGTATTATAAATAGTTTCATTTTGGCAATGTTCCAGATGTGAGAGTAAAGGATTGTGTGCAGAATGTCACCAAGTTAAGAGACGAGTTACGTTCTTTCACCACTATCTCAGAAGAAACCATCAATAATATTCTAGAAGCAAATATCTCACATTCAAAGGTAAGAATATGAAAATGAGAAAAGATGTATCTTTCTTACCATGATTGTCTTCAACTTCTTTTGCCTTTTTTTTAAGCTGTTCTTTCAGTAATGGGGAGGGATAATTATTATTCTAGTTCTAATCTGTGTGATAAGATTGGGGTTAGGGAACACCCATTGTCTCTTAGGGAGTGCCCTTCCTTAAGCAACCAGTGTCTTCCAGAAATGTGTACACACTAAAATTTTTTAAATTAAATTGTATTTTCTTTTGGGAATGTAGGAATATGCTTCTAACATTTTAAATTCAGGCTTGTTGACCTTCCATGTTTCCACTGAATAGTTAATGATTTATGGCAGACATCTAAATATACTGTGGGATCTCAATATTCAAAGAAATCTTTTTGTGAACTAAATTAAGTCCTTTTTCTGATGCAGTTAATCACCCATTAGTTTACCTGTTTTTTAATTGTTTAGGTGATTTAATGTTATAGTTTCTTAAAACAAGGCATACTTACATATGTATTAAAAATCATCTTCATATATGGGCAGTTTAAGACGTTTCTTACTGCATTTTATACCTGAATGTGCAAATTATTTAGTTATTGGATTTATAAAAGTCTAATATTTCCATTCTCCATCATCACTTTTTCTAAGACAGGCTCCATTCTTTGCACCATGACTTTCAATGGACCTTATTTTAAATGCATTTGGGTACATATATAGTTATTTAAAATTCATACATGGTTTAGTGCTTATCACTAGAACACTTTACCTTGAAGAATAATTCAATTACAGTTGGGGAAATTGGAATTTATGGAAAGTTTCCAGTGCAGTATTTGTGCTTTGTAACTTACTTGAGAATTAGTATTGTTTTATAGGACCATTCTGCATTTTTTTAAAGCATAGCTTTTCATGAAGAATATAGCTTAATGTCTAGATTTGTGGTTATTGTTGGGAGGCAGCTATATGGTACAGTGACTAGAATGCCAGGCCTGGATCAGGAAGACCTGAGTCCAAATGCAGCCTTAGATAACTTACCAGCTCTGTGACCCTGGGGCAAGTCAGTTAACCCTGTTTGCCTCGGTTTCCTCATGTGTAAAATGAGCTGGAAAAGGAAATGGCAACCCAATCCAGTATCTTTGCCAAGAAAATCCCAAATGGGGTCATGAGGAGTTGGACATTACTAAAAATGACTGAACAACTATACCTAAATGGCTAGAAGATCTACCTTAAAGTCAGGAAGATCTGGGTTCAAGTTCTATTTCTGAGCTGGCTGTGTGACCCTGGGCATGTCATGTAGTTTCTTAGTTCCCTAGGAAATTCTGCAAGATCACAAGGGAGGCAGTGTGGGAAGTATATTAGATCAGAAATCATAGATCTGGGTTAGAAGCCCTCCATGACCACTAACTACCTAGCTCACTTTGGGCAGGCTATTAAACTCTCTGGTTCTCAGTTTACTTATCTGCAACTTGAGGGAGTTGGACCACTTGAACTCTAAGGAATTTCCCTTCCAACTTTGAATCTATGATTCTGTGAGCCTAAGTTACAGAGGAGTTGCTAATCCTCATCATCACAGGGAGGTTCTACACTGGGAGTTCTCCACATTGATACTGATAAAATCACAGCAACATGTATGTATGTATACAGACATGCATATATATGTATCTATGGAGCACCTCTCCATCGATATGGATTGGCAGTTCCCTCATAATTAGGATCACACAGTTTATATGCACACACACAAACACACATGTGTATATGCACACGTGTATGCATGCACACACATACATGTATATGCATGCACACATAAATACATATACATATGTGTGTGTGTGTGTGTGTGTGTGTGTGTGTGTGTGTGTGTGTGTGTGTGTGTGTGTGTAGATACACACACATTTAAAAGGGTGTATGGGGTATTCAGGGAGGACTAGCACTTCTGGTATGAGGGCTTGCCAAGCCAATTTCAGGGCTAATCATCCACCTTTGGTGTTCACCTGCCACCAAACTCTCACCTGTGACTCCAAGAAACTATAGCATGCTCAGCAGCCACACCCCAGTAAAACTGTCTTGGCAGATGGGCTAAACCAGGTTGAGGGTGACTGACAGGACTCAAACACTTTGGTGAGTTAGGGGGATATCTATCCCAAGCATGAGAAGACTTTCCCTGGCAGAATAGGTAGATGAGAACAATTTGTTCCAATGGCCATAAGAGTGGCTGAAGCAGGCACTGTGGAACCTTACAGCTTGTTTAGACATCAAAGACACTAAGGTCGTCCACTGCATCCTGGGACATCCACAATCATCCTGATTTTTGTTTTGCTAAAGGATTTTTATGAGTCTGGAAGAGAGGCACATGACTGTGCAACTCTGCCTCACTTAAATCCAATTCACTTTCAAGTCAAGACATCACCAATGATGACTTGAACATGAATATATATTTCACAGCCATAGAATCTCGGTTATAAGGGATCCTGTATAAATCATTTAGCTTAACACATGCCTGAGCAGGGATCTTCTCTAAAGCATCCCAACAAGCAGTCATCTAGATTCCATTTGAAGACCTCTAGTGATGGGAGAACTCACTACTTCCTGAAGCAGCCTGTTAATTTTGGACAGCAATGATTGTTAGGAAATTTTACTTTATGTAGTTCAAATTTGCTTTCCTGAAACTTTCACCCATTTCTCCAAGTTCTTTTCTCGATGGACAACCAAACAAAGGTCAGTTCCTCTTTTACATAGAACCATTCAAATATTTACATATGGTAATCATGTTCAGTGTATTTTTCTTGCACCCGGGTCCAATTGGGGTAAAAAATCTAACAATTTTAATGGGATTTAAATATGTAATATGGAAAATATGATTCAAATTTCAGAAATTAACTTTTTAGGAACATATATATTTGATGAGGTTAGATATATGTATAATGGAGAGGAAATGCTATCATTAATGGGTGGGTGACAGTAATGTGACCAAAATGAAATAAAAATTAAAAAAAAAGCAATCTTTGTAGAAGAAGTAAAGAAAAGGCAATGGAATAAACAAAGAGGAAATTTGAAATCATTATCTGATGGTGTCAATGTCTGACTCTTTTAGAGTTACTGATTTTTAGCATAATTTAATTATTTAATTATAACTAGTTACCAGAAAGAATAAATGATGCTGATAACTTACATGAGTGATTTTCAGCCATGGATATGTTTATCCCTCTCAGGGATATCTCTGCCTATCTCTTGGAGTATTTTGAAATTCTCTTCTCAAACCATCTTAAAACACAAACATGCTTTCTTTCAACTTAAATAAAATGCATATTATGCAATTTTTCTAGAAGCAGGGAGGGAATTTTGAAAGGAAGGATAGGGTATTTCCACTCTAAGACAAGAGGGACAATTATAGACAATTAAAATAAAGGTATATAAATGGTAAGACCATATGTGCCTCTGTGATAGAGACTCCTCAAACGTTGTAGAACGATGATGGACCAAGTGATGTTCACAGAAAATATTCTGGTTTGCCAGATTTCTGGAAAACATAATGTGTTGCTTTCACTTCCAGAATGTGACAAAGTTAATTTAGTGCCTGCAAAAGAAGATAGGCCAGCAATGTTGGCAGGTGCATTCTTCAGTCTCACAGCTTTGCTCAGGCATCCTTCCAATAAGTCCATTCAGTTTTTTTGCTTCCTTGTAAATAACGCCAGCAAAATGATTGGTCATTAAGCTCAATATTTGCCCATTTGGTATGCAACAATAGTTCAGTTGCTTGTTGACTCCATGGATAACACTCTTGGTTTATCATAGCTAACATTCTCATGGTGTTTTCACTTACTGTGTCATATAATCCTCACAGTAATCCTGCGAAGTATGTTAACCCTATTTAATAGCTGAGGAAACTGTGGCTAATAAAATCTGATTTATTTAAGATCGTCTGGGAAGCGGTGCAGAAGTGACCCTTCTTGCTAAGGCAAATTCCTCTACTTGTATCTTTTATGCCATTCCTACCTTTTTGCTCCACCATATTGCTGGCTGTTATCACCCCTCAGCACCACCCCCATTTTTCTCTATTCATTCCTTCTGGCTTCCTATAAACAAGCCCATGCATACTCCCTCCCCTTCTTTAAAAATAACAACAAAAACCATCACTAGATCCTCCCATTTTCTACTAGCTCTCATTCCATATATCTCCTCCCTTTCTCAGTTAAATTTCTTGAAAAAAATCCTTTTATACTAGGTGTCTCCACTTCCTTCCCTTTCATCTTCTGAACCCATTCTGATCTGGGTCCCAACCTCATCGTTTGATTGAATCTGCTTTCTTTAAAGTTACCAATCATCTCATTAGTGCAAAATCTAGAGGCCTCTGCTCAATCCTCATCTCTCTTGCCCGCTCTTCAGTATTTGACACCGTTGCCCACCCTCTCATCCTGGTCCTCTCTCCTTTCTGAGTTTTTGTGCAATTGCTCTCTTGGCTCTCCTACCTATCAGATGGTTCCCTTTCAATATTCTTTGATAGATCTCCACTCGTGCAATGTCCACTAACTGTACATGTCTCTTAATGCATTATCCCAACCATGGTTCTCTTTCCTCACTCTCTCATTTGGTGATCTCATCAGCTTCCATGGGTTCAGTTATTACCTTTATATGGATGATTCCCAGATCTCTATATCCATTCCTAATCTTTCTCCTGAGTTGTAGTCTTACATCATGAACTGTCTATTAGATATTTTGAAATGAATATTCCATAGCCATCTTAATATGTCCACTATATTACTCATTTTCCTTCTCTGCAAACCCACCCCTCTTCTAAACTTCCCTATGACTGTTGAGTGTGCCCCCAAGTTTCTAGTCATCCACTGAAGTTCACAGCCTCAGTGACATCCTCAGTCCCTCGCTCTGTCACTCATCCCAGATATCCCAAATCCTGTTATTATATTTCGTAGTCTATAGCTTCAGACTGGGAAGGGACTTTATACCAGGTGAGTCTAACCTCCTCCTTTTATAGATGAGGAAACTGAGGTCCATAGAGGCTA